TTTTATAAAATACTGAAAATTTTTCAAAAAAGCGTCGAAAAGCAAAACTTGTACTTAAAATTTCTGAGCGATTTCTGAGAAAATCGAAAAAATTTTCAAAAATCAGGAAAGAACCAAAAAAAACTACAAAACTCTTCCGAAAAACTTCAAAAGCTTCCGAACACGAAACAAAAAACTAAACAAATATAGAAAAACACAAATAATGTCCCAATAGTTTTGGAAAGATCCTGAGTGATCACTAAAAACTTCCGAGAAAGCCTTACAAAATTTCGAGGAACCCGCAAAAAATTATGAAAATCGAAAATCTTTCGAAAGCTTCGAAAACAGAACGCGAATAATATAAGAAAAAAGCCCAAAAAACTCTAAATAGTAGCGAAAAAATAAAAAAAAAATTCATTAGAAGTCTCGAAGCTCCCGAAAGATTTCGAAGGACTGCCGGGAAAATTTCGAATGCTCTCGAAGAATGATTGGAATTACGAGAATATCTATCCGAAAAAATCTCCATAGATAGAGGAATGATAATCCCGAGGAAACAATAAGTATTACAATTTCTTTAAAAAGTATATTTGGTTATATTGTGCGGCAGCCAAAACCAGACCGAACTTTGCATATATGGAATACTTCTATATTGGCAGTAAGCTAACTTCTCAATGTGTAAGCATTCCGAAATCAAAGCGAGACAGTCTAGTACCGTTTTTGTCAATGTGTTGTGTACTTGAGTGCGGTTTTTGTATATGTGTTGTGTACGTGTTTATTTATAAACGTATGTGTTCCTTTTCTTTCGTACGTGTTTATTTATATATCTGTACTGTAGTGTTTTCGGACGGTACTAGCTCTTACTGCCAATATAGGAGTATTACATATATGGAACTTTGTTATCATTTTCTGAAAATACGTATGTATGTAGTATACCTATCCAGTAATAAAAAAATTTATGGTTTTGCAAAACTTAGCTCATATTTTTATTTTGTGACTTACTAAGATTTTCACGTCCCGACCTAAGTAGTTTTCAAAAATGCTAAAAATGGTTAAAATAAATGTCTGATCGAAATTAAAAGTTAAGATGTATTTCTAACCAGTCAGCTCCCGCCTAAATCGATCTTTTGACCTTAATTAAAGAAACCACTCAAAATGCAAATTTAGAAGGTTGCGGGGTGATTAAAATGATCTAGAAAATATTATTCGGAAGATTTTACTAGCGGTCTTCTCTGGCAAAAAATTCATGTCACCAAGGTAAAAGTCTCTAAAAATTAAATAAAAAAATCAATGGACATGAAAACTTTAGCATGTCATAAAATAAAAATACGAGCCAAAGTCCGGGCTGGTTTGAGTTGCCATAAAATCGTCGCTTAGTGTTATAAACTCTATACAACAACTGCTGCATAAGAAAAAATCCATGAAATAACAAAATTTTTGGCTCGTTAAATTTTAAACAAAAAAATTACCACATTTTTCTTTTAATTTATACATAGTTTTTAAGCTATAACAATTTTCCACTACGACGTAATTTCAATTATTTCTGACATAATTTTAAACATTTTCTTAACGAATTTTATTGCATGTTGGCTTAGTGAGTGTTCGGCTTAGCTTTTTGAAATTTTGCCACAAAATATGTATAGTATACATAAATTCAAGTGGGTCTACTTCTGTGGTTATCTGCATGTATGTGTGTATTTAATATATGTATGTCTAGCGTATATATGAGTATGCATTTATGTAAGTACGTATATATCGACTTTTACCAGCTTTAACTCAGCGAGTTTATGAGCTTGTATGAATACCTTACAAAAACATGTCAAATTTATCAGGTTTCCAAGTCCAAATTTTATGGAATTTTTTCAGACCTTGGTAGTGGCCCCTAAATTTTTGTTTTTAATTTTTAATTTTTCTAGAATGTCTTGAATTCTACAAAATTTAGATGTTGATATTTTATAGACCCCCCTAATGTATGTATATGTGTTTTATTTTTCATATGAGCCCATATATTTCGCTTTTGTTTCGCCGCGCCCAGCTTAACACTCGCATCAACGCCGCCTTTTTATTATTATTTTATTTCACTGATTTTCTTTTGGGGGACATTTTTTTATTTGCTTTGTATTTTTTCGTTTATTATTTTTCTCGTCTTTTGTTCTTTTTACAGTTCTTTCTTTATTTTTCCGCCATCATATTTATTTTCGTTTTAGCTTTTCGCTCGAGCTACTCCTCAGGAAGTCATTATGTGGGCTGACGTCTGTCACATTTCTTTCCTTTTGTTTGACTTTTCTTTTTACTTGCTCTGCTCTCTACAAATTTCTACACACCGTTAGCATTGATTTTCCTTTCCTCTAAATACATACATATATATTTTTGGTAAAATTATTTGGCTTTTTAGGCGTTGCTGGCACCGAATTACTTTTCCTGCGCTGCAGCATGAAATGGCAACCACACATTGATGGGTATTGTTGCGTTAAAGAAAATCACTTAAAAACGTATTATATTTGATATCGCATTGTGAATTTCATCTGGGTGGTGGTGAAGAAATCTACAAAGCGGCCTGAAGATATTTAAGTATAAAACTGACAAGGTTCACGAAAGTTTTGAGGTTAAATTTTTTTAGTGAATCTTTGCGAATTTTTCAAGAGGTTAAAGTGTTTTAAAAGGAAACCCAAAAACCAAAGTAAATTCCGCTGTAGCCCACAAGTAAGTTGGAAAACTCTCAAGAGGAATCGCTTTTCTAAATGCGTGAATACCCATGTACTCTCATATGCCAATCAAAGTAGTCCCAGTAGGGGTAGTTGTGGCATGCTATCTTTAAGTACGTTTTTAAAAGAAATTGAAGTGCGATGGCAATGTTGTTTTTATTTATGTTCAGATATATGTACATAGGCGTAAGGCAACTTAATTTTTTGTTGCTTTTCATTCAATCGAAATTATATTTAAAATAATTTTAGTAGCTAAAGAATTAAGTGTTATTTTTAAGAGCGGTGTTGTATTTTGCGGACTTCACAAACAGGTAAGTTATGATTTCAATATACATATGTACATAGCTTTTGAGAATAAAAATTACCGGGGGTGAAAAAACACAAACAGCAATAACGCAAAATTTGCTTTATTTCATTTTTAAATCTGATCCATGATGATTTTTGAATTTCAATTGATTGATGATTTTTGTACCGTTTTTCCAAATCAGATCATGTTTCCAAGATATTTTCATTTCTCTGAAAAAAATTTAACAAGGAAAAAATTAAAAAAAGGACAAATTGTTTGTAACATTTTAATTCTATTCGACATTTTTATTGAGTTTGTGGCCTTTTATGATGGAAAAACAAATGAAAGCAGCGCTGTCTTCGGCTGTGCCGAAGGCACCGTACCTTTCACGAACATCTGAAAATTTTACTTAAACATATTACTTCATTTGAAAAATGTATATATTCACAGCTTACACTTAGATGGAGGAGTTACATACATATATAAAAAATGATATCTACATAATCAGAGGTATGAAAGATATACCTTATATAGCACCAATCTGAGTAATTTTCCCTGCTGTGTGATCGGTAGATATGTAAACCGGTAACACAATTTAATGGGTTTAGCTTCCTATATAAAGGAGATATATCGCAAAAAATTGGTATCTGAACAATCAGTGATATAGGAGATAAAGCTTAAATAGCATACATTTTGACGATTTTCTTAGTAGACTATGTATTATTATTTATAAAAAGCTTACGAAATTTATCAGTTTCAGCTGCCTAAGAAAGGAGTTTTACAGTAAAACCCCATATCTGAACAATAAGTTGTATAGGAGCAATACATAAATAGGTTGTAGTGATCCGATAATTGTTCATTATACTTTAAAATTTCTGTTTATTAGGAGTGAAAATAGTGCGAAATTTCAAGTTCCCAGCTGCATAAATGGAGGAGTTATAACAAAAAGTCGCATATCTGAACAATCAGTTGTATGAGCGCTACATATATGTTATAGTGGTCCGATTCTTCCGGTTCAGACAAATGATTAATACCTTATAAAAATACATTATAAAAATGCACGCACTTACCAAATTTTATCCGGATATCTCGGAAACTGAGAGACTAGATTGCATATAAACAGACGGACAGATCGGTACTGCATTTGAGAGAGACTACCCAATGCCAATTTATTTCTTTCTCCTAAATAAAATATTCTCTTAACATTTGAGATTCCATAGCATTCGCTCTTTAAAATCAGAACACCCTGTACTTATAAACATGCACACAAAATGTTGCCTTTGTATGTAAAGTAAAATTCACACATGCGAAATAACCTCCACTCAACCCAATCACGAAAAAATCGCACATAATCTGCTGCCATAAAATTTGACCTAGACGAGTATTTCATAAAAGGTTTCTTCGGTAAATCCTTTTAAACATTTCCCACTTACGCCATAATCCGATAATTTTCACAAATCAACTTGACCCCAGAGGACCATTGCTTCTACTTAGTACGAGTAAAAGCATAGAAACTATACAATAGAGACTCCAAAGGAAGGAGTGATATATGTTAATAAAATTTCAGAATAAACGAGTTAAAAGGATGTGCAAAAGTAAACTTTGCAGTAGCCAAAGAGAGCAAAAAGAAGAATACCATTTACGGAAAAGGTTTACACTATTATGTGGCAAATTTAAAGGCTTTATGTGACATTGATTTAGCTGCCCTCTGCGATGGTAGTGCCTGTTATGCTAATGCAATTGACATATTCTGGACCTTCTACGAAGAGCACTGGGCGAATCCTTTCAATTACATTCAACAATTTTCGTATGCGTTAAGGTGACACTGATATATGTTTCAACGGCTAGGCCTATGAATGTATTAAAAGGCTTGGAAAATGTATGAGTAAATCCTTAGAGCGCCATTGAGGTAAAAAGGATTTATGCTGATTTTTAGATTTACGAGTAAGTAGATAGTTGGCTAATAAAATAGATTAAGTGTAATTTTGCGAGTACACGATGAAAGAGCATTAGGCTAAAGCTTTACATTTGACCTAAAATAATTGATAACTTATAGGAAGTAAGCAAAATTCGAGAGCATTCATCAACTTAGGCTGCCAAATATTATGCTTTTGAGAGTTTAAATTATTAGCATTAGAATTCGAATCGCCATTATCATTGCCATGACAATTCCAATACCAATAGTCATTTGTAGAGCTATTAGCATTATCATTTAGGCTTTCACTACCTTTACCATTACCAGTACCATTAACATTAGCACTGCTATTATTGTTATTACCATTGCCATTATCGTTATCTTTAACATTACCATTACCATTGTCATTACTATTGCCATTACTGATATGATTACCATTACCATTACAATTAACACTACCATTTCCGCTATCGTTACCACCATTATTATTCCTATTGCAATCACCATTACCATTATCATTATTGTTACCATTACCATCATTGCTATTACCATTACCATTACCGTTTTAGTTACCACTACTATTATCATTACCGTCACTATTACCATTACCATAACCATAACTATAACAATAAGCATTAGCATTACCATTACCATTAAAATTAACATTAACATTTACCATACCACTATTATTAAAATTACCATTATAACTGTCATTACCATTAGCATTTTAATTACCCCCACCACTATTACCATTACTATAAACACATTTATCAAAAATAGCATTAGCATTACCAATACCATTACCATTTCCACTACCAATGCAATTAACACTAAAATTAATATTACCATTACCATTACAATTACCATTACCAATATCATTACCATCACCACTCCCATTACCTTGCTATGTTTAACATAGTAAATATATTCGATAGTTAGTTCCGCTACGCACCAGACCGCACCTACATTTAACGCTTGCGATATTCCAATCTTCAAAAGATGTAAATAAAAGCTTCGTCGTAACTTCAAAATTACCACTTTTGACCGTGTACACACATAAAATCACCCGCATCCAGCCCACACTGCGTTACGCTGCCAAAAACTCAACAACACAAATCCCATTAGCAGCAGCATCAAAGCGTCCATATGACAGCGACTACCACCATGGCCAACATCAGCATCCCCAGCTTTCCAAATGCAAATGGAAATCAGGACAAGCGGAACGAAGCAACGAAGTGTATCCGACACACCTTCAAAGTGCTTTAACACACCTCGTAAATAGCAGTCACTCAGTCAGGCAGTCTTTGGGTCAGGCTGGCGGATGGGCAATCAATGCCGAGAGCGAGTGACTGACGCTAAGCGAACAGAAACAACTACCAACGAGAACCAACAAGCAGCCTGCCAGCCAGGCAGCTAAACAACCAACGAACCATTCACGTAGACAATCGCCGGAGTGAAGAGTGCGTAGACAGTCACCGTTTGACATGCGCTCCTCCCTTGCAGGCTAAGTGGAAGTACCTTTCACTTCAATACATACACGACTTTATTGCGCGTTTTAGCCGCCGCTGTTGCTTTGCCGCGGAACTGGCTGTGTCGGTTGGCGCCCACTTTAGACATGTTTTTGCAACAATTTGCATTAAATTGTATTTGCTAAGTAACAAGGTCAAAATGAATGAATAGAATTTCCGACTAATGTACTAGTTGTGTAAAACAAATACATAACTACATTTACATATTTACATATACATATATACAAGTGCGTATGTATGTATATAAACGCCTAGGTGAGTAGTCAGCATTTGATGCGCGCTGGCCCTTTCGCTGAAAATATTGCTTTGAAGCTGCTGTGTTGCACCAACTAAGTTGCTATGCTCAAATACGATTACCTGTATCTAGCTATGTACATACTAACTAACATTTTTTGCTAACAAGGCATACACAAACAAAGTTATTACAAAAATATGTACATCTCTAATAAAGGTATAAGCAAATTTTGCAAATTATGTCAGCCAGCTGGTTTTCCCCAGGTAAAGTTTGTGTGCTTGGGTGCCTTTAAAGCTGCCAGTTGCTAGCAAACACAAATTTGAGGATAAAGGAAAATTTATAATAGAAAAAAAGGAAAAGAAAATATGGTATGACTTCAAACAAAATATGGCTGGTTTAATTTCTAGAATGAATATTTCGAATTTAGGGATTTGAGAAGCTTTGTTTGAGCACCCATTCGCGTTTATTAATTGAACTAAAGCAGCTGCAGCTGAGATGGATACTTTAGCATTCGAAGATTGCTGCCGGCCATATGCTCAGCAAGCGGCTCTACAGTACGTCACGGGGGAAAGTTATGTAATCAAATAAAAATAATAAGCAATAAATATATTGGAGCACAGTTAGGCAATTTTAAAATGCCTACAAATTATAAAATGAGTCAAAGCAACTTAAATTATTGGTTGGCGAAAATCCTCTTAGATATATCCTCCAAGTGGGTGCCGACTAAGCAATGGGCATCGTGGCAAAGTAAGCTTGTTCCTATGCCGCAGTGGTGCATACAGGTGGGGCCGGGGTATAAACTCCCCTGCCTCGTCTAGGTCTGGTGGCAGGACGTATGGGTTCGCCCTACGGAGGCTGGGGTGGGCATACTTATGCTATTTCTAGGGGGTACCAGGCGGTGGAAAACGCCACCTAATCCTCGATGTCATGCGTCACCGTGCCCATTGGATGGTTTGCAATCAGGAGCTTTTCGACTATATTCTTACGGCACCTCCGGGAGTAACGGTGGACTTACTGCCAAGGCTGACCGTTCTTTCCCCTTACCTATTTATTCGGTCACCGAACGGCCTCGGCTCAGTAGGCGACCAAAAAACCAGTTGATTATGAACAAAACAATATAGTCCTGGATCCCTGCACGGGTAAAAATGCCTTGCGAGTATACCCCTTGAGTGTAGCTCCAAAAGGCCCCGGATGAAGGCGATAGTGGCACCCAGAAGTCCTGCACGGACAGTACTGCTGACCGCAAGCTCCTTAAGGGCACGAAGTCGGCTGAACGCAAAGGCATCTCAGGTCGCAGCGGTCAGCAGACAATATAGATGCTACTCACAAGAGGACCACGGACTCTTCTGCTCTTAACCTTCCACGGACTCTGAGGGTTTTCAACGATGTAGCCAAGATCACTTGATGCTGGCGGTGATGGATACGGGGCATCCGGAAGGAAACCTGACAGCCAACAACTGGAGGTCCTGGATGAAGGTTCTACAAATAAACCTTCATTACACTAAAGCAGCTTCTGCAGCTCCGCTCCTGCGCCTCAGTGATAAAGGCGGGAGCTAGTTTTTGACCAGGAGCCCTGGGTTGTAAAGAACAGGGTTTTTGGACTCAACTCTCACGCTTACCACATAGTGTCGACCAATAATGCAGGTAATATCGGAGCATGTATACTAATCAAAGAATGTATTTATTATAATTTACTCACATAGTTCAACGATGCAGAAACGCCAATCCACGAAACTCAAAAAAAGGCAAAAGGGACTCCTGAAAGGATTACTTGGATAGTATACAACCGTACCCGATCGCAGCGTGATCCTGTAGGCGCAATCTTTTTCACTGCAGCTTTTTGACACCCTCATCGTACCAGTGGTTCTTTCGGGCTCGCTCAAATCCGACTACTTCTTTGGCGACGGTACGTAATTGGCGGGAAAGTTCCACTGCTCGCATATGTCAGTTTTTAGTGAGTGCTCTCTGAAAGCATATGTGTCGCGTTGATTTTTGGTTTGGAGAGTGTTGCTCATTTTCCCCATACAAAAAAATAATTATCGGACATACCTTATTTGGAAAAACCTACGTGAAAAAATTTGCAAATTAGTATGCAAATTTATTGCGCTTTTCAGAACTTTGCATAAAGTTTAGAGATTATATTCTTATATTTTTTGGAGTAGTATGAACTATATTTTTATAAAAAACTATCGAAAATAAATTAGAATGAACAACTTTGTATATATTGTGAAAATCTACTGTGCCAATACTTTTGTTCGTCACTGTATATTTCCTTTTGTTTTGGAATTTTTTGAAATTTTCAAAAATTTCTGCATATGTACATACATACACATACATATGTATTGAAAACATTTTTACTCCAGCAGCTCATTTTTATACCACATCCATCAGTCCCATTCAGTTCCATTTGATGACAATTAATTTAACCAGCGGTATGTCGCTTTCACTCCGCATGCAGCACTTAACTGTAAACGTTGCTGATTGCCAATTAACTGCAGGCATATGACTGCAAATAAAAATCGACGACGACATTGCAACACTCTTGCAATAAAGCATTTACGCACACATGAAAGGACCTAACATGCATACATACTTACTGCATACATATTTACATATATCCAAGCATACATTCATACTTGCATCTAGAACTGTATTATGTACGGGTAAATCAGCATCAGCACGCAGCATGGGAATTCACACAAGAAAATAAAAAAAAGATAAACAATTTCATAGGGAATAACAAATAAAAACGCAGTTGTGACGCAGCAGGTGGGCATTGCGAGCTGTTTGTAGTTGGCCTTGCAAATGCCGGCATACATAGCTGCTGCTAGAATCAAAGAAAGCGAGCGAGAAAATACGAAAGACGGAAGTTGTGAAAGTAAAATGAATCGTATTGAATCGTAAAGCAAAGCTAAAAGGTATTTCAAAGGAACTGCAATTACGGCGACAGCATGCAGGCAAGCAAGCAAGCAGCGCACAGCGCATCATACAAATTGCAGAGGAAATGACAGCGAATTGCAGCAAATTGCAAGAAACACAAAGTGATTCATTGTCGATATAGAAATGCATGCACAAAAATGGAATTCACGTAATTTTCGGCATGCTGAACTGTAGCTCACATCTGATTGGTTTCTTTCGTAATTTGAGTGATGCATGGTAAAAAATTTTTAAGAGTATATTTTTTAAATTTTAATTCCCTCAATATATAGTTTTTTTTATGTAACCTCTGTAGTCTAACTGTTCCCTTTTCGGTTTTGTTGAGTCCAATAAAAATATGGCAAAGCCTGAAAAGTTAGGTTCTAAATTGGCACTAAGATACCCTTAGAAATTTAAAATTTCTAAAGCGTCTCACTACTACCGGGTCGCGTCATGGAAATTTCTCCTTTTTATTCCCTAGCTCGTTTTCGCTTGGTTCTTCTCTTTGACTGTAACTGGGCTGGCGACGGCATGAAGCAGATACTTATATGAGGTATACCCGGTTCTTGAAGGCGATAAGTATGTATTACAAGCTAAAGGTAATCCCACGCCAGCTGTGAGATGGCCTGATGCGCTTTAAGATCGAGGAGCGCCGTTCTGCTATCCGAGTGTAATGTGGATCGATTTTTTGGTTTCCCCCTCAAACATAATCCGGTGGCTGCACCTCGGCCTGAAAGATAGAGTTAGCTAGTGAAAAGGAGCATTCTGGATCGTATGCTGTAAAGCAGGTTAAAAGCATCTCGCTAAAAATTCAAATCTAGCATTAGGTGCTTTCTTCGCAAGATTGCCGAGCACCGAATTTAATACCTAACTTCAATACAAGGCTTTTGCCCTACCTTTCGCTTTCACTTCATCCATATTCCATTTCATATTCTGAACATCTCTGAGCTCAATCTAGTGGTCCACTCGACGCTTAGCCTAACCGAACTTCTCGCCAAAAAATTTCTCTAAATCATACTTAACCCTCCACTCCACCTTTATAAGTGCGTCTCTATTTTGCTCTAGAATCAATGCCTTACTCGTCCTACAGAAAGTGTATTCAGGTACTTGAACTTTTTTCTTCTCTTCATATCTTAAAGTTTTTTTTTGTTTGTTTGCCAGATTTTTTAAGATTTAGTAAATATCATTTATCGCTATGCCTTTAATCCGGCAGTATTGCAAGTTTGCAACTCCTTACAAGGAATTTACATAAGCAAATATTCAAGTACGTGTAAATAGTACATGCATGCAAGCAACACCTATGCAGAGTAGAAAAGGTGGAAATCTTAAAAGTAAGAAGCAAAATAAAAGCTACGGCAAAACACAAAGAGAATAAAAAATACCATAGAAACCATTCGCATAAAATTTTGCATTTTACTTGTACTAAGGGATTGGGAAGAATTTACATATAAAAGAAACGAATAAAATGGGAGCATTTGCTTTGCTTCTTATAAACTCTTATTTTCGCTTATATGTACACACATACGTAGGTATAAATACGTATGTGTGTGTGTCACAAGTGGGTTATGATTGCACAAAAACAAACTTGAAAATTGAAAACCAAAATTGCATTAACTTCATTTTAACAATAAATAAGTATTTTTACTTTCCTCACATTAACCATATACATACATACATACGTACTACATGGGCAAAGGCGTACGTTAGAGCGTTATTTTTATATCTTCCATCACGTGTCATACTCAATATTCCACCTATGCACAAATGATATCCCAATTTGCATAATGGCTTACAATATTCAAAAATATTCATTTCCTTCAAATAATCCTAAAAAAATACTTCTTTGAGAGAGTTGCTGTATTTCATTTTTAATATATTTTTTTTGTTATTACGTCATCAAAGCTTTCAACTTCATTTGTTTACATGCAAATTTGTTT